CTCTCTCTCTCTCCCCCTTTCTTCTTCTTTTATGAATACCATTACGTATAGTGCTTCAAAGATGAGAGAAATTTTCAGGGACAACTTCACAGAGAAGCCAGTATAAGTGTTGAGAAATGAAGGGCATGCTGAATGACATTAAGCACAGATCCTGAGGAATTTATTTTAATCAGCTGGAAACATATGAACTAAAGCATGAACTTGGGAAGATAGTAATGTGTGGGGACAAAACACTAGTCCACTTTAGCTAGAATGTAGTGGATTGGAAAAGCTGGATGGAACAGAAGGAAAGACAATGGGCAGTTTTTAATAGATAATGTGGGTTCATTTATTAGGAATTTGAGAAATCAGAGATAGGACATGAGAAATAATAAAAATTTAGCCCCACATAAATGGAGTTTAGAGAAATCATAAAGTGTCATTTGAGGCCAATACGTTTTTAATGTTTTTTGTTTTTCTTTTCAAGTGACTAGCTATTACTATAAGGAAAGATCTCCAAAGTAATTTGTATTTCTTTGGTAAGAGCATATAAAAATTCTAAGTGCTTTAGTAAATCAATTAATTCTTAATTGTGTGCTATTTTAGAATATTAAAATATATATTTAACATACCTAGAAATATTATACCAAAATGAAAGATGGATTATTTATTCAGATAATTTCATTATTTATAATTCTCCAGAAAGAATTTTCCCACTTTCACTTAATACCATGCTTTGTTAATAGCTTACAAAGGTCTACATAAATACCAGGGAAAATATTTTTTTTCATGGCAGATTGAGTTCAATTCTTACTGATTGCATGGACCTCTTGAATATCCAAAGTCATTTGGAATTATTTGACTGTTTTCTTTTGCCCTCACAAAATATATTTCTTAAAGCATCAACATTGTTATGCTTAGTACAAGAATTGGACATATACAAATGGTTTTGTGTATATTACTTCTTATTGTACTATTGGTCATTATTTCAGAATGCTTAAATAAACCTTTATCAATTCTAGGAATTTATTTGTTCCTAAAATGAAAAATGTCTGCTATTTTTTTTACCACTTTTCACCTCCTTTCCTATTTTGCGTTACTTAGAAATTATTTTGCAAGGATAATAATTGCCATACCACTGAGTCAGGGATTATTTTTAGATCTAAATAGTTGGATCAGAAAAGAAGAACATAAGCTCAATTGCACATGAAAGTATCTAATGGAATCCAAATATAAATGTAATTTACCAGTGCCAGAAATGCAAAATGTGTATTATTTGTATGGAAAATGCAGGGTTAATTAATGAAAAGGTAAAAAAAAAAAAAAACAGAATCAACTTTCAGAGAAGCTGAGATGCAAATGTGAAGCATTTTGTTGAACATCTCTGAAATGGAAGTTGATCAAGCAATTAATATAGTTAAACACACAAAAGCTCACTTGGATTTCAATCTACTGAAGGAAAGTGATCCAAACCAAATACGAAAATTGATTGACTAAGACGACTTTCCAGTGAAGTGGAAAAGTCCCATAAAAATCCAGAAATGGAATACAAGGAACAAGGTCATTTGGCTCATCCTGTCCGTCAGCGCTGAATTATTTCAGAGCAATTAAATGCAGTTCAGTTGACCAGGGAGGGAGTTCATTTGTACTAATGAATCCACATGGAAACTCTGGCTAGAGCAATAAACTTTCTAATTTTTTATTTCCTTCCTATTCCACACCCTCCCAACCACACCTGGTATTAAGGATTAGAAAGACCACTGAACAAGTGGTTTCTAAACATCTGAGTTTTTGCCTTTTATGAGCCTCAGTGATATAAAACACAAAATGGTATTGTATTTTGTGATTCCAATGTAATAATATGAGGCACTTCATCCCTTACCCTGGGCAATGCTAGACTGTGAGCTTTGGGAGTCTAGGAGCAGGGTCTGTGTTTGCTTGCCCTTGTATCCTAGCCTGTTGCGTCTATGTAGTTAGGGATCAGTTAATATTTGTTGAAAAAAATCAGAAGTTGAATGCAGAACATGCATCAATACTTCACAGCTTGGATGGGCATGCTATGTAAAGCCACAGAAGAATCCTCCTCCTTAAGGGTCAACTTCCCTGAAAAGTTAGGAAGGAAGGTTCAGTAACTTAAGCAGATCAATTAAAGTAGATGTATGTTAAAACATCTGTGTTATTTATAGCTAGAATGCCAAATTCACATGAATTGGTAAGATTAAAACTGGAGACGTAATGTAGTTTCACCAGCACTGTCCTCAGGTCTCTCCCTCACTGTGAGAAGATCTTCAGGGGGAATATCTGTGAATCTCAGAGGAGATAAGTCCATAAACCTAAGGTATGAGACTCAAAGGAGACGGAGTTATAATCATCAGGACAGGCTTTTGATCAGCCAACGAGCATTTCAGAGGACAAAGCCTGTCTTCCTCATTCTGCTCCTTGGCATTTGTACATACTTGCACACGGGGGTATCACAAAACACTAGATTTGGTAGCTCACATAGGGGAGGAAGAAGATTCTTTCTCCTTCTACCGTCCTAGGTTCTCCAGCTGGGACCCCATAAAACTAGACTGACAAAAGGCAGATTAGTAAGAGGAAAACAGAAGTTTATTAACACAGGGGGCACATATCACGTGGGAGAAATCTTACAGAGACTAACTCAAAGACATGGTTAGCATTTAGATTATCAACATTTTAGCAAAAAACAATCAATGTGTAGAGAAGTGACAAGACAAAAGAAAAGGGTTTAGGCTTCCAAGAGTGGCAAATTGTAGAAAGGCCAACATATCAGGGGAACTAATGAAGCAAGGTTTGTTCATACAGATCCATCTCAGAGCCAGCTTTCCTCTCCATTTTTTTCCCCCACAGCCATAAACCTTCCCTAGGAGAGGAAATGTATGGCGTCCCCGTTTTTCAGAAGTTTCTGCTTTTAGTCAAATAAGGGAGGCTTGGGGAAGGCATTTCTCCATCTTTTGGTTCTCATTTGCTTTCAGCTCAAAATGATCCTTATACCAAATTGGTACATTTGCAGATGGCACCTTCTGGTTCCCTATAAGACAGAAGTGACACTTCTGGATTAGGTAGAGCAATGTGATGAGAAGTTTAGGTGGGGTTTGAGGCCTGTGATGTATCTCAGACACAATGAACCAAATGTGGCTGTTTGTGGGGGATTCAGGGGCAAGGCCCCACATTGTCCCTCTTCCGGTGCAGGGTGTTGGGACACTGGGCCTGACTGGACGAACCACCTTCACAGGCTTTGTCGTGGGCCTGAGCATGTGTATGCTTACAAAAGCAGCACTATGTCTGCTAGAATGAGGGCCAGCTGAGAAGGGGGGACACAGTGCCAGTGTGGCCCTGTTCTGCTTGGTGGCAGGAGCAGGCTGGGGCGGCGGCTCTTTGAAGGAACTAAATGCTTAAGGACAGAAAAACCTAATTGATTCTTGACAGCTGGATGTTCCTAATGCTCAGTCTCACCCTCCTCAGAGCCTCCTGGACAATGTGGGTTAGGTGTGTCTGAACAAGGACTGCACAGAGGGGGCCAGCTGAGAACCTGCAGGGGGCTGCACACCCTCGTGGCTGCAGCAGGATGTGGAGAAGAAAGAAATTGAGCCTGGGGCCTGGAATTGATCTGAAGTGAATGTATCTTCAGTTCCTTGTGCTGCTGGCTACCAACAGAACACCGGCTGGTGTGAGCAGACTTCTCTTTGGAACTGGAAGCACAACTGGCTGCATGAGACATGTGACCTGTACAGTTGCACTGGGTCTCTGCGTAGAAGGTCCCATGTGGTTTAATGCTCTGCTGTCACTGTTCTAAAATTCTCCGCAATTTTTTCTTTGAATTTGTGTTCTGTAAGTGAAGTCCAATGGTGCCACACAGCATATGCACGAACAGGGGAGACACACTGCAATATGCGCGTCTGCACCTGACACAGAGAATTCACGATGTCCTATGAGCACAGATTTCCATTGACCCATGATGGGGTGCAGTGGATGTGACTCAGTGTGAGTACAAGGTCACTCTGTTATGTCCATGATGAAGTGGGGTTGCTGACAGTGGTCAGAGGCCACTCTTTCCATTTGAACAGCTCTTGCATCAAACACAGGTGACAGTGGTCCCTAAGGAACATGAACAACCACGGATCTATATAATATTCTTTTGCATAACTCCCAGTTTCAGACACATACATGTGATGACATGGAAGGACAAGGAAAGGCAGGGCAAACCCTGGCTTCCTTCTCTCTTAGCCCTTCCTTACTCATCAGTGAGCTGAGGGCAGTGTTGTTAGAATGTGCACATGTCAAAATAAAAACAGTTGATTTCATTTTGTGCAGAATTTCTACTGTTCTAATAAGGACAAAATACATATGCATGTACAATTTTTGTAATTTCAGTGATTCCACATACTAGTTAAATACTTGTATATTTGCATTTAAGAGGGATAATGCACAATATAAACAGTGCATGGTAAAGATTTGAAATTATAATTTTTTTATACTTAGGAAAACATCCGATAACAAATAAGAAAACACCATGACAAGTTGCAAGAAAGATCATGGGAGAAATGGAAAAGCCGTATATTTTAGTACCTTTATGGGTAATTTTTTCCCTGCTGTTTGAACAAGGGTCCCCACATTTTCATTTTGCAGTGAGTCTTGAAAATTCTGTAGCTGGCCTTGTCCAGAAGAGGTGGTAAGAAACCATTACTTATTCCCTTGAGGTCTGATGTGATTATATTAAAGTTCTCAATAAAAAGAATTCATTAGTATTCTTTCTTTTCAACCAATAAGCACCAACTTCTAATAATAGATATTCACAGCAGATGTGGGAAAAAGAGAACTAAAATTCAAGGGCAGCTCACTGAGTTCCCTTTCATGTTCTTGAGCCTTGTTCTCAGAAGATTGTTCCTCTTAAATACACATGTTACTCCAAATGCTTTTAGACATTGAAATTTTAAATAAGAAATTTTAGATATTTCAGCAGAAATGTGCAAAAATCTGAATTTCTCCTAAGAGTACCCAGGATATTCATGGGCACCTACCTGTCAAATGCATCACCGGGAAGCCCAGGGCGATGGCGAGATGGCCGTGAGAGTTTCCTGCAGCATTTAACCTGGTAACCTGGCTCCGGTCCTTATCTACAGAAACTGTCTTTAATCTTCTGCTCAGTTCTTGCCTTGTGCTGACTTAGAAAGGCAATCTCTGCCTTTTAATACATATATGTCAAGTTCACAGCTAGCTTTCTTCAGTTCCAGGATTTCTTTATACAGGAATGTTTTCAATACTTTTAGTCTCTTGTTCTGATATTTCTCCCAGATATTCAGTGTTTACTGAAACCGCCCTCCATGTTTCAGCATCTCTAAGTATAGTTGCCCAAAATTGAGTGAATGCCTCCCAATCAATCATGAGATCCTGTTTAATTCTCCTTGTAATGGGACATTGATTATGAGGACACCATCATCATGATAAAATACCTGTGTTTTCTTCCAGTTTGTGTTTCTAGTCTACACTGGAGCTGATGAACTGATTTTATACCCATCAGAGTTTCATTCTAATGGTTGCAAAGATCGACAGAGATATATGAGATCTTAAAGCCTTTCTATAGCTGACATTTAAGAAAAATAGTGACAATGTCATGCCTCTGTAGGTCTAAACTAGAAGCCAGCAAGCTTTCTGAAAAGGGCTGTAAATATTTTTAACTTGGGGTTGGAATATTTTTAAATCTCAGTTTTAGGGGTCATCTATATAATTTTTGTTATAAAGAGGTAAAAGACTACTAATTTATATGGGAAGACATACTTATTCTTTCAAATAATTCCCAAAGCATTTTTATTACACAAATTTTAAGAGACATAAAAAAGCACAAAGAAGAATCTGACCAAGATTTAAATAACATGACAATTGCCTTAGACACATTATTCATCTTCCATTCCATATATCATCTTTAAAGCTTTGTGACTTTAAAGTGCTATATGTTGAAAAAACCACTATGCTAATATGAAAAAGCACTTTGCTTTTGTGCTGCTTAAAGACCTCAGCAGGAAGCTGGGACCTTTATCTTCAGTGTCTTGATAATCTGATGGTAGTATCACTAACTGATCACCATTTTGTAGGGATCATGTCATTATTTTCATGACGCTTTTAATCTTAAATACTTTACCACTATCTGTATCTCTTTGTCCAATGTCACCTACCATACCAGGCAGTTAAATATTTCTTCAGATTTACTTATGATCTTTATTTCCTTATCCATAAGGCCACAAATGCCTGATGTTTATAATCTTAGACAAACCATAAGCAGTAGGATAATGGCTCTTCATTTCCTTTTAATGTTCTGGTTTTCTAAATAATGTTTACCATATGAAATCGAAATGCTTTCTAAATATTTGAGTTTATAAGATTGTGGTGACATTATATATCATTATTTTAGATACTTCCCTTTGAAAGTAGTTTTTTACAAGACCATATGATTAGAGGTTAACTCTTCTCTGATATTTACCTGTGGAATTCATTAATTATTTGTTTATCTAATTATGTTTATATATCATATTTTTACAAATTATACATGAAAATATATATACTATATAGAATTATACATATTTAAGATTTTCAGTCTTCCATTTTTTCATTAGTTTCCATTTGCATTTGAATGGTTAAAGATCATCCATTTCCATGAATACTTTTTGGTTTGTATTTCTCTTAAGCATTCTTCACTGTTATTAAATTCTTTTAATGTGTACATAAATATAATATGAGAAAAGCCAGCAAAAATTAACTCTGAGGAGCTAAATTTCACAGGACTAATATTTGCAGGTTTTCATTGCCATGTAGCTGTTCATAATCTATATTAATTAACCTATAAATGGGCAGATTAAATGAAATTATTTTCAAACTTGATATGACTAAGCTATGAGGATAGTATATAGTCTTTTCTTGGAGTTGTTACTTTGTGTTAACAGCCAAAGATGTATTTTTACTTTTTTTTTCCAGCTTTATTTATTTATTTACTTACTTATTTATTTAAGGTATTCATCGATGTTCACTCTTATGAAGGTTTCACAAGAAAAACAATGTGGTTATTACATTCTCCCTTATTATTGAGTCCTCCCCATAGCCCATTGCAGTCACTGTCCATCAGTGTGATAAGATGCCACCAAGTCCCTTTTTGTCTTCTCTGAGCTACACTGTCTTCCCGTGACCCCATACACACCATGTGCACCAGTCATGATATCCCACAATCCCCTTCTCCCTCCCTCCCCACCTGCCCTCCCCCACCCCTCCCCTTTGGTAACCACTAGTTCCTTTTTGGAGTCTCTGAGTCTGCTGCTATTTTGTTACTTCAGTTTTGCTTCGTTGTAATAATCCACAAATGAGGGAAATCATTTAGTGTTTGTCTTTCTCTGCCTGACTTGTTTTACTGAGTTTAATACTCTCTAGCTCCATCCATGTTGTTGCAAATGGTAGGATTTCTTTTCTTTTTATGGATGAATAATATTCCATTATGTATATGTACCTCATCTTCTTTATCCATTCATCTACTGATGGACACTTAGGTTGCTTCCATATCTTGGCTATTGTAAATAGTGCTGTGATAAACATAGGGGTGCATATATCTTTTTCAATCTGAGAAGTTGTTTTCTTAGGGTAAATTCCTAGGAGAGGAATTCCCGGGTCAAATGGTATTTCTATTTTTAGTTTTTGAGGAACCTCCATATTGCTTTCCATAATGATTGAACTAGCTTACATTCCCACCAGCAGGGTAGGAGGGTCCCCCTTTCTCTGCATCCTGGCCAGCATTTGTTGTCCCTAGTCTTTTCTATGTTGGCCAATCTAACTGGTGTGAGGTGATATCTCATTGTGGTTTTAATTTACATTTCCCTGATAAGTAGTGATGTGGAGCATCTTTTCATGTGCCTGTTGGGCATCTGAATTTCTTCTTTGGAGAAGTGTCTGTTCATATCCTCTGCCCATTTTTTAATAGGGTTATTTGCTTTTTGGGTGTTGAGGCATGTGAGTTCTTTATATATTTTGGATGTTAACCCCTTGTCGGATTTGTCGTTTAATTTTTACTTTTTAATTGCTGAAATAGATTTTATAGGTTGTATTGGATGAGTCCATCCTTCCATGATCCTGATAATAATTTGTGGCTCTTAAAAGTTTATAACTGATATTGTTTTATACATTTCCTCCATAATTAACTTGTATTCATTCATTTATTCAAAGTTATATTAAGTACTTATTGTCTCTCATTCAAATAGGCAATATAATGGTTAAGTGCCTAGACTCTGGAATTAAGTTCAAGGCCTCATTTCTCCCCTTCCTAGGTAGGTGTCTGTAAAATGAGGATAAGTTAATCCAAGATAATAGTTACTACTTCATAGGATTATTGTGAAGGTTGAATGGGAAAATGGATGTGAAGTGTGCAGTCACACACAGAGTGAACTTCAGAGTTCGTAAGCTGTTATCCACATTGCTAGGTGCACATTAACTTTTTTTCATCTCTTCTGGGTAATAATTCCAGAAATAAGCATTTCTTTCTGTTTAAGTTCAACAGCAAAGTTATTCCCTAGAGGCCCTAAAATTGCCGTCATTTGGGAAAAAAGCAGTTAGGCAACACAGGTCCATTTCATATATGACTAGATTGTAGCCAGTATTCTGGTGCATTAAGTGGCATTTGACCTGAAGATCATCTATCTCGCAGCCCCATCCTGGGTTGATGTACTGCTGGCATATTATCTGGAGGCTTGCATCAGCTGTCTACAGCCGTATGAGACTTTAAGTCTCAGCCTCTGAAAAAAATGATAGGAGCAGCTACAAAGCCAAAGCTCTTGGTCTTTCAGGGCAGCCGTTTCTGCTGTTCACACCCAGGGGATCCAAACATTCAAGCTAATGACTTGAGAACACAGTTCTGCCCCTCCTGAGGATTCAGCCAAAACCCTTCAAGCCCGGGCAGCCATGAGAGCATTACTTTGTTTTAGTATGACATTTTCTCTGCTCAAAATTTATTGGTCAAATGCAGCATAGAGATACTCTACACAATTATTGGTACACAGAGAAGCTGGGTTTCTTTTCCAAGCTCTAATCATGCTTGATATACATTCTAGAAATAATGGTTAATCCTTTGAAAGAAAAACCTCTATTTGGAGCTTGGCCACACACTATATATTATCATAAAGTTCACTTGGATAAATGAGTTAAATGTCAAAAGAGGAGAAAAATATCTTTAAACAATTTCAAGGGAAAAAAACACTTGCAAATAGTTTTTTGATCTTTGGCTGGGGAAGGACTCTCTAAACTCAGAAGCAATGGAAGAGAGCCCACAGGAAAATACAGTTAAATACGACTGTAATATGCTTTTCTTAAACTTCAGTACTTTTAAAAGTTAAAAAAATTTTTTTAAGTCAAAAAAATATCTACCCAGAAATAACAGAGAGGGTTTACTATCCTTAATTTATAAAGCGTCTTTACAAACCAATAATAAGTTATATTATCTTAAATTATAAATGGATTGTTCAAAACCAAAGCAAAAGAATGTAAATACTTACTTTAAAAATCAAGCTGACAAAACTCCTCAGAGAACCATCAAACTAAATAAATGTGTGCAGTGGGCTTTTTTAGGTGGGTTATATTATTATCTGCTTTACAGAGTTTTTGTGCAGAGTTGAATAATGATGTGATGTAGAGTACCCTACTAATAAGAAGAGGATTAAAATAAGAGTTGTCTGTTTCCTGTGATTCCAGAGTACATATACTGTCAGACTTCTAAACTTCAAGGGAGACAAGACTAAGCCAACTGTATCCTACGTGAAGCAGCCACGGTAGTTTGAAATAGCCATACAGAAATAAATATATGAATACGTTCTACCTGTGGATTTCACTGAGATCTTCACTAAGTGAAGCACAAATGATTCAGTGCCCCAAGAAGGAAGCTCTAGTATTATTACTCAGTCAATGCATGAAATGGAAAAAAGCAAAGCCAGCCCACCTCCCATCTGTGTAGCAATGAGACTGACTTGTCAGTTGGCTCCAGCAAGAAGCAGCAGAAAAAGGAATTCCCAGGCCTGATGGAAAGCACCCCAGGATACTTCCAATGATCTCAGGGATGACAAGAGATAT